TACTTTCTTAAAGTGGCGAATCGGCTTCTCCCTAACAGGGCATTCTATGCATCTTCAGCTAGCTTTCCCCCGCCGCCTACTATCTAGCTGCAATCCTTCCCTTAACCCTAATCATGCTTAAGACATGGAATTGGATGCTTCTTACCCCAAAAGTCAATAAATAGAAGAGTGAGGAGGGATTTTTTGGCAAAGCAAGACTGATTAGCTCGCCTAAGGGTCGTAGCGGAAGAATTCCTCATCTGCGAGCTATTGGGGATCTATTCTCAGGAAGGAATGAAAGGACTGACTTTCCTTACCTAATAACATCTTAATCTACGATCTACGAATAAGAAATAGGAGCATCTAGCCGAGTAGCAGTCAGTAGGCGGAGAAGAAGTCAAAGGCGAATATCTCTTTGCCCCCCTCTTCAGTCAATGCTTTGGCCTTCGTCTCTTTTGCCCTTTTAATTAGTTTTTTGCATGTGTAGGGGCACTTTTTTAACCTAATCGATAGTTGTTAGGATGAATCACACGTGGGAGAGATATGAAATCTCTGAGCAGACTTAAATCCCTTACTTTGCCATTCTTTCCAGAATAGGATTTTGCTTAATATCATTTGGATGGACTCAGATCCTTTCATGTAGGAGAGTCTTTGATGGGCTTTGAATTTGGATAGATCCAGTGGGCCTTCTTGCATGGACTTGGGCTTGCTTACTGGCTTCGCTGAGGATGGGATTCCCTACCCGATGAGTCTGGCTAGGCTATTAGGCACCTTTGGTCTAGGCTTTCTCAGGCCTATCCAGAAGTCTGAAGTTCCGTCTACAGAAGGTCTAATTCTGAGCCGAAGCTCTATTTATTGCCCTATTCCCTTTCCTGACCAAAGTCACTAAGGAGNGGCAATTTTCAGACTTTTACTTTGCACCCTAGCCCCTCTTAGTTTTCAGTTTTTAGCTTAAAAGCCTTGAAGGACTGACTGTTTCCCAAGTTACTACCAAAGCCTGAAATTGGCTAGAAGTCCCTGCTAGAACATTCCTATTTCAGTTATGAAAAGTTTCCCTGACCTAGAGTTCCCAAACTACCCCCAAAGTACCCTGAAATTACCCCTCAAACCTTAGACCAAAATCTGGGTCTCACATGACCCAAATTAATGGGTCTGAAATAACCCAAATTGGTCTCTTATTGGACCCTTCGATTTCCAGAAATCAAACCAACCAAGTCCAAATCCCCCATTTTCAGGACTGACCGAAATTCCCAACAAGGAGCCCAAAACTAAACCAAGTGGAAATCAATTACTGGATTTTATTCTTAAAATTATGTAAACTAACTTCGTCAGTAACCTAATTAATGCGACAGAAAACAAAAAAAATAAAAATGAACACATGATAGAAGAACAAATGAGGCAGAACCAAATAAAGAAAGAATTGAAACACAAGAAAAGAATACAAAAAGAAAGAAGCTGAACGGTACCTAAAATTGACGAAGAATCCTGAGAAAACCCCTCAAGCTCTTGAGTTTGACCGAAATAAGCTTTAAACATGTGTCTTCAAACGAAAACACATGAATAAAGCTAACTTTGGCTTCAAATCTTCAAAGCATTGACTCATTTGGAGTTTTGGACATTTTAGGGTTTTCTTTGATCTAATATTAGACGCGTTCCAAAGACTTCTGAGACAATCTGAGTGAGAATTTGGAATAAGGGAGTGAAAGTGATCTCCGGGTGTTATTTTGGTGGGTTTTGGGTCGCGGCGCCGCCAGACACGGCGGAGGAGTCCGTGGCGGCGCCCTAGGGTTTCACTGATTTGGGGCTTTTGGGTGGGATTTGAAGTGTAAAAGGTGGATATTCGTGAAGGGGGAGTTGAGAGGAGTGTCTGGTGCAATTTCGGCCAAGTTTGGAAGTCAAACGCCGCCGCATGGCGATTTCCGGTGGCGGCAGCGGCGGTGAGAGACGAGGATGAAGGGAACGACACGGTCTTAGGTTAAAATGTCTCTTCAGACACTTTTAGTTAAAGAGGAGAATGGATTGAGGCCCTTGGATGGGGTATGATGAACGACCAAGATTGAATGGTCAATTAACCAAAAACGACGTCGTTTCGAGGGTTCCAAAGACATAAGGTTTGGACCGGGTGCAATTTGGGCTGGACGGGTATTTGGGCTAATTTGGCATGGGTATCCGGGGTTGGTTCGACATTGGCCCAACACTTGTAAGGCTTAACAGGCCAGATTTTCTCTTTTCTTTATTTTCCATTTCATTCAATTCTTTTCTTTTATTTGCTTTTCTTTTCTTGTTTTCTTTCAACTTTAAAACCAAATTAAAATTAGACCTAAAAATTAATTCACCCTACCTAATTAAGCTACTAATACCAAATCAAAGGAAGCTAATAAACCTAAAAACTAAAATTAAAACAAATCAAAGTTTCTTTGTGATTTTTGTATTTTGTATATGAATTAATCATGCACATAAAAATGGAAAACACGAAATCATGCAATTAATTCCCTAAAATTCAAATAATAAAAGAGAATCCTAGTTCTAATGAATTTTATAGGAGTAATTAAGCGTGGCAAAAATCTCGTGCTCACAAGTACACCATAGCGGTACTCAGTAAGTGCCAAGCCTAACCTCGGTCGAGTAGTGACGAGGAAGGTCAGGGCCCTACTGATTATAGCTGAAAAATGAGATAAAATAGTATAGAATACGACAATATAAATAAATGCTAATAGCGTGAAATAACACAGGACAATAAGAATAACAACAACTATCACAGAGGCAGAAGTAATCACGGAAAGAATACGGTTCAACATAGAGATAACAACCGGGGATCTCTCAGGATACCGTCCTGTATTCCCAAATATAAATATCCAGTGGATCTCCAGGGATACCGTCCCGTAGTTCAACTCATAGTGCGCGGGGATCTACCGGAAATCCCGATCCGTAGTCCCAAATGTAAATACCCAGTACTGGGGGAATCTACCAGGTGCAGTTCCGTAGTTCCAATATAAAAGTGCAGGGGAAGCTCCCGGAATACTAATCCGTAGTCCCAAAGTAAATAGGCAGGGGGATCTCCCGGGATACCGTCCCGTAGTCCCAAAGTAAATACACAGCAGCAACACGAATAATACTCAATTCAATTCCAATTTCATACCAAGGTTCAACAGGTATTTCTAACCTAGCATGCTGCATATAATCCAAATAAAGCAGTTTGAGCAAGTAAAATAATTAAGTCAATTAAACATGCTTCCCTAAGCTAACAACAAGCTTAAATTACAAGTAATATAAACAGGAAAAGGAATCACAATTTTAGTTACTTAATGAAAACTGATTTTCAACAATTAGCACAAGTACGCACTCGTCACCTCACGTACAAGGCCTTTCAAATATCAATAATACCAAATCCTAAGGGAAGTTTCCCTCACACAAGGTTAGGCAAGCCACTTACCTCGAACCGGCTCAAAATCAACCCGAAACCATGCTCTTGCCACGAGTACTCGACTCCAAATGGTCCAAATCTATTCAAATCAATTGCATAATGTAAATAAAACTTCAAGTAACTGATTCCACTAATTAATTCTAAGCTAATACGCGAAATTAGGAAAAATGACCAAAACGCCCCTCGGGCCCACGTCTCGGACTCGGGTAAAATTTACAAATTGGGATCCTCACACTCTCACAAGTTCAGCCATACCAAGAGTACCAAAATAGGACCTCAAATGGTCCATCAAATCACCACTCAAAACTCTCCAATTAACCAAGCCCTAACCCCCAATTTACCACTGATTTCTCCCTTAAATTTCATGCTAACAACGATAAAAATCACCATAATAACGAGTTTATGAACCAAGGACCTTACCTCAATGAATCCCTCTGAAAATCTCCCTTGAAATTGCTCCCAAAAGCTTTTCCCCGAATGAAATATTGAGAAAAATGACCAAAAATCGCGAACGAAATCTTTTATACTTTCTGACCCAGGCTTTTCGCACCTGCGGTCTATTTTCGCTTCTGCGCTACCGCTTCTGCGGTCAAGGGAACCATTTCTGCGGTTTTCACTAAAGCCTCCTTCTCTGCACCTGCGACCCAGATTCCGCATCTGCGGTCCCGCAGGTGCGGTATGCCTCCCGCTTCTGCGGTTTCTGCTGCCTTCACTTGTGGCCGCATCTGCGGCTCCATGTCCGCTTCTGCGAGTCCGCACCTGCGGTCCTCTAGCCGCAGGTGCGGTTATGACAGCAATAGAACAACTTCAGCTGTCAAACCCAACTCAAAATCTCCCGTTAACCATCCGAAATCACCCCGAGGCCCCCGGGACCTCAACCAACAGCACGAACAAGTCATATACCACTACCCAAACTTATATCAATCTTCAAAATACCTCAAACAACATCGAAACACCAAATCATCATCGAATTTAAGCTTAAGAATTCCAAAAACTTCCAAATTACGCTTTCGATCAAAAAGTCTATCAAACCTCGTCCGAATGACCTGAAATTTTGCAAGCACGTCACATTCAACACTACAGAGCTACACCAACTTCCGGAATTCCATTCCGACCCCGATATCAAAATCTACTATCGAACCGAAAATCTAAAAAATTCAACTTTCGGCATTTCAAGCCTAAACAAGCTACGGACCTCCAAAACACAATCCGAACACGCTCCTAAACCCGAAATCACCCAACAGAGCTAACGGAACCCACGAAATTCCATTCCGAGGCCGTCTTCACCCTGTTCCGACTACGGTCCAAATTCTAAAACGTAAATTCTCATTTGAGGACTAAATGTCCCAAAACTCTCTGAAACTCCAAATAAATTCTCCCGGCAACTCATAAGAGCAGAAACAAACACGGGAAATGCAGTTAATAGGGGATCGGGGCGTAAATTCTTAAAACGACCGGCTGGGTCGTTACACATACAGTAATATTTAATACCTTAAAAACATTAAATTTGAACAAATAATAAAGGAGCCTTTGGTTGGTTCCAACTGATCCTCCTTTACAAAGATTGTAGTTATTTTCTGACATTACTGAGCAGTCCTCACCAAATATTGTAGTCCAATTTGTATGACTGCTCCTGTGCCTGTTGCTGTTGGACTGAATGATTTGAAGTAAAATCATTTTCAAAGATAGAATTTACTGATGATGAAAGATTAGACGAATTAGGCAGAAATGGAATATTAATGTTGCTTGCTCCTTCTGATCTTGTTGCTGCAGAAAAATTCATGTTCATGTAGTTCTCATTGTTGTAATTGTGTAAATAAGTGTTGTTAATCCCATAATTTGATGGACTAGCAATGCTAATCATATTTGGTAATTCAAAATCCCCAATTATCTCATTTGATATTGTGCAATTAGTGTCACAATTAGGAGACTCTAGGGATTGTTGGGATGATGATGTTGGCTGTGCTTTCTTCGTTGTTGAACTCTTCTGGAATACCCTACAAACTACCCATTCCTCCTGAAAATAAAAATATGTACAAGAAATAAATTAATGGCTATACAAGCAATTCCAAGAAAATATGATCATAACCTCTATGTCATAAATTATGTTTTTTTTTTCTCCTAAGAACTTATTCATTATACTCCTTTGTTTCATTTTTTGTCGCACATACTCCCCCT